CAGTGGCCGCTCCTGGCCACCGCAGCCTCGACCTGCTGGGCTCCAGCGATCCTTCCGCTTCAGCCTTCCAAGTAGCTGGAACTATAGGTGTGCGCTACCACGCCTGGCTAATTTTTTGATTTATTGTAGAGACGAGGTCTCGCCAAGTTGCCCAGGCAGGTTTCGAACCCACGGGCTCAGGCAATCCACTCACCTCAGCCTCCCAAAGCGCGGGATTATAGGCTGAGCCACCCAGCCTGACTGGGAAGCCATTGTTTAACAGGAAGAGTTTCAGTTTGGGAAGATGACAAAGTTCTGGAGATGGATGGTGGTAACAGTTGCACAAGAATGTGAATGGACTTAATGCCATTGAACTGTGTGCTTCAAAATGGCTAACATTAAGTGGTGTATTTTATATTACATGTATTTTACCACAATTTTAAAAAATAAATACATTTTTAAAAAACATGAATGGTTATTTAGGCAGCAGCATCAGAGTCCCTTGTTGCATTCTAGTCTGCTGACTTCAGTCTGGAGAACTGGCCTTCTTCAATTTGCCAGCTGACAGCCCAGAAAGGAGCCTGGTGTTTGAAGAGAGCAGGGAGAGCTGCCTTGAGACTGAATAGTGGCTGAGTAAGAACCCCCAAGTGGACGATCCCCACTGAGAGCAAGGAGAAAGCGGCAGAGTCACTGTTGTCTTCTAAGGCTCACTCTGAGAGCTTGGGGCTGTTTATGTCACCCAGTGGGGAAAGATCAGCTTCCCTTCTCCGCCCACTTGCCAGCTCTGCTGGCTGGGAGCTCCTAGGAGGTAGAAAAGTGAATGGCAGTGGTCCCAGGATGATGGGTGGGTGGAGTTGTTACCATGGGGGTGAGATGGGAAGCAGTGAAGGTTGCCCCCACAGGGAATAGCCCTACCCATTTTATGACTCTAGAAAAACAATTTTTTAAAGATTAGGGCATTTTCTAAATTACAAAATCTGGAGGGAAACCACAGTCAGGGTGAGAGGACCAACAGGAGGCTGAGCAAGGACAACTCAGGTTTGTGTGCTCAATTAAAGAGTTGCTGGAAGGCCGGGCACAATGGCTCACGTCTATAATCCCAGCACTTTGGGAGGCCGAGGTGAGAGAATTACTTGAGCCCACAGGTTTGAGAACAGCCTGGGCAACTTGGTGAGACCACATCTCTACAATATATCAAAAAATTAGCTGGGTGTGGTGGCACGTGCCTGTAGTTCCAGCTACTTGGAGGGCTGAGGTGGAAGGATCACCTGAGCCCAGCAGGTCAAGGCTGCGGTGGCCATCAGCATGCCACTGCACCCTAGCCTGGGTGACTAAGTAAGACTCCAACTTAAAAAAAAATGAACTTCTAGCAGGGCTCAGTGGCTCAGCCCATAATCCCGCACTTTAGGAGGCTGAGGTGAGTGGATTGCCTGAGCCCGAGGGTTCGAGACCCGCCTGGGCAACTTGGCAAGACCTCATCTCTACAATAAATCAAAAACTAGCTGGGTGTGGTAGCACGTGCCTGTAGTTCCAGCTACTTAGAAGGCTGAGGCAAAAGGATCGCCAGAACCCAGCAGGTCGAGGCTGCGGTGACCGAGAATGCGCCACTGCACTCCAGTCTGGGCGACAGAATGAGACTCCAACTCAAAAGGAAAATGAATTTCTGGCATGCCTTAAACGTATGAGTAAGGAAAATAATGATACAAGGTGACACCCAAATCCTCACTGCTAATGTGAGACAAATTTTTGAGCGGGTAAATGTTGCCCGTAAGGTGACCTGCCTACTTTGTAGGATGCCTGGGAGTCATGCTCTGCCCATCTCCCTTATATTTGTAAAAAAAGGGTTGCTGGAATCTAGGATACTTTTTTTTTAATGTAAAAAAAACCACACAACTCTTGACCATGAAAACACATAACTAAGGAGTGACTGTTTACACTGTAATGACTGGGAATTATAAATTGATTCCCTTCAACTCAACTTCCTGAGCACATTTAGGGATGGTCATGCTTACAGTCCTGGCAGGGAAGTTAACACACTAAAGTGTTAAGGATTACTGCTAATTGAAGACTGACCATAAAAACGCATGTGAAATTATCTTGTAAAGGAGCATCACAGTTTACCGTAAGGTCCACCTGATGGAAATTTTCATGCCAACAATCGATTCTACATATTCCCCACGCCAACTCCAGGCTTCACTGCGCTTATAGTACAGGGAGGGCAAGCATTTACTCATGCCAGCCTCAGTGAGCTCTGATTCTATTTTTTTCCTTGATTCAGGAACACACACTGTCCACAGAAGAGAAGAAAGAAAGGGTGCTAGAGGTTGGATAAAGGACACCTTTCTTGCTCTCCTCCAAGTAGTCCATGCTCCTACATTCTATTATCTGTGGCCAGCTGCGACTAGATTTGTCCTTGCTGCTGATTCTGAGTGAATGGCACTTTGGTCAGACTATGCACTCCCTGAGGGCAGTCCATCTGTTTTGGATTTTAACAACAGCAGCAAAAATAGCAATACAAATAATGGCTGGCCGGGCTCAGTGGCTCAGCCTGTAATCCCGCACCTTGGGAGGTTGAGGTAAGTGAATTGCCTGAGCCCGTGGGTTTGAGACTCGCCTGGGCAACTTGGCGAAACCTCATCTCTACAATAAATCAAAAAATTATCTGGGCATGGTAGCGCGCCTGTAGTTCTAGCTACTTGGAAGGCTGAGCGAAAAAATCGACGAAGTCCAGCAGGTCGAGGCTGCGGTGGCCGGGAGCGGCCACTGCACTCCAGTCTGGGCGACAGAGTGAGACTCCAACTCAAAATAAATAAATAAATAAATAAAAAGAAAAGTAAAAAAATAATAACAATAAAATAAAATAAAAATAAAAATAATGGCTAACATTTAGTGCAGGTTTACAACAAACCAGGAATTATTTGAAGCACTTTATTATTTTAAGCCTTTTCATCCCCATTATAGCCCTGAGATAGGTTCTACTGTTACCTGCATATAATAAATAAATGAAAGCCTGGAAAGGTTAACTCACTTGCCCAAGCTCATACAGCTAGTTAAGCACCAGAGAGCCTGCCACCTTCCTCAGACAGGGACATCTCCAAGACAGGGATCCTGTGCCTTGCAATGCTTGAGGTATTTTCTGCCATGGCCATCAGGTGGGTGGTGGGGGAAGGGACCCTCAGAGGGCTCTCACTTCCATCAGTCTGCCTGCTCCCTAGGGCCTTGGTCCTTCCAATACCTGGGAACTCTCTGAGCACATAACGCCACAGGGGTTGTGCCACCTTCCGCCCTATCCAGTCTGGAGCTCTCCTGAGGCAGGGACCTGACATTTCCTCAGGGGAGTTTCCTAGGGCAGAGGCCCTGAAGAGCAGCATCTTAGATACCCTGGCTCTCCCTCCTGCCCAGCACAGGCCTCTGACTGCAGAAGGAGCTCAGGCCTGTGTGTCGGATGATTTCTCTCTAGTCCCAGCTCCGGGCTGGCGGATCTGAGCGTGAGGTCTGACTGCCCCTGGGATTTAGTGGGCAGTAAACATTCCCACTTATGCGTCAGTTGTTTTGCTCCAGAGCAGTCTCATCAGCTGGACAGGCCCTGACCAGATCCCTCCAAGTTTTTCCCCAGGGGTGGAAGTGGGGGTGGGGAACTCAGTCTTTTCCAAGGAGGGGCTGCTTTCTTGAAGTTTGAGATTTTTATTGGGAAAAGGCAGTCCTTGGTAGTAAGATATTAAGTCCCTGAGAAGGAGGGGAAGGGACTGCTACGTGTGTGGTCCCTTGGAGGGGGCTCCTAGCAAACCAAGAAGGGAGGGTGGAAGTGGCAGTCAGCTAAGAGATGCATCTAGAGAAGCTTCTAGAGATGCTTCCAGAACCACTGCAGCTCTCAGATCTCAGGGCTTGGAACAGTTAATCAGGACCTGTTAAGCCCCCAGGACTTCATTCATTCTATCCTCTTCCCTCACTTCCAGATTAGCACCTCTGTCAAATTTGTTTCCATGGGCCCAACCCTGTCAGTTAAGGCAGAAAAAAGATAAGAAGATATAAGGGTCCCTGTAGGGCAAGGACAGGAAAAAGGGTTTAACAGACTGAGGCAGAGACTGGAAAGTGGCATGATTGGTAGCCAGTTTGCAGAAGAAGGAACTTGAGGAGTACAGACTGAGGGTCACAGGGGTAAGGTAGGGAACTAGAAGGCTGGGAACTACTGCCTAAGGAAGTGGAGCTGCCACTACACTTTCTATTTGACTACCGCTTTCACCCCCACACTCTCATTTTCTCAGCAGGTACAGATGTGGTATTACTATCATCTTTTTGCAAATGGGGATGCAAACTAGGTTGGTCCAGGGTCTACACAGAGTTTGCAGAAGAGCTGAGACTAAAATGCTTTTCCAGGGCTCTTTGGATCTTTGAAGAGCCAAGGATGAGAGGGGAGGGTGGGGCATGCCACAGAATAGTAGCCACAGGAACCAAATGAGAGGGAGGCACCTTCATTGAGCAATCAGCTCCTCAGATATAGGCCTTACCCACCACATCCAAGACTAGAGTGAACTACATCAAATTTCAGAGGCGATCACAACCTGTACACAGAGGTGCTGCACAGATCCCGTTTGTTACAGCACAACCACCCCAAATTCCTGCTTTGTGTGTTCCACTCCACTTTTTTTTTTTTTTGAGTTGGAGCCTCACTGTCACCCAGACTGGAGTGCAGTGTCCACTCCCGGCCACTGCAGCCTCGACCTGCTGGGCTCCGGCGATCCTTCCACCTCAGCCTTCCAAGTAGCTAGAACTACAGGCACACGCTACCACGCCCTGCTAATTTTTTTGATTTATTGTAAAGATGAGGTCTCGCCAAGTTGCCCAGGCAGGTCTCAAACCCGTGGGCTCAGGCAATCCACTCACCTCAGCCTCCCAAAGCGCGGGATTACAGGCTGAGCCACCGAGCCCGGCTTCCACTCCACTTTTAAGACAACCCATCCTGCCAGTCTTTCCACTGTCCTCCCCAAGCCAGGCCCCAACTGTCCAAGGAGCCCCTGTGCTTACCCGGTAGTGATGTCATCATCCTCTGTCATAGTCTTGCCCATGAGGTCACTGTCGCTCATGTAGCCAGACTTGAGGTCCACCTCATCTGAGTCCAGGGACTCGACCAGCTCCAGGCGCGAGATGTGGCTGAGTTTGCTGGGGCTGCGCATGGGCATGGTGTGGGAGTAGTGGGCCCGCTCCCCGTGCATGTACCAGGCTGGGGTCCCCTCTGAGCGGCAGCTCCCGCCTACAGAGGGTGCATCACCAGCCTGCAGCCGCGGGCTGGACTGGCCATACCGCCAGGAGAGAGGGGACGAGCGGTTGGAGAGGCTGGACACGCTGCGAGGGTTGGCGTCATCGCTGTCATAACAGGTCATTTCCAGGGAGCTGGGCAGAGAGCAGAGGGCACTACTTTAGTCTTTGGCACAGCCACTCTGTGTCCTGTCCCCTCACACTGTGCCCCAGCAATGTCTTCCCTCTGCCAACATGCATACCCACCTTCTCCGCCTGCCCAAGTTCTACCTCCTCCATGAGGTCTCTGGTTGTATGTTACCCTTGTCATACTTATCTCAGGTTAGCAAAAGGTAATGGTTTTAAGCAGCTAGGGAAGCAATGCAGGATACTGTTAAGAGACTACTTTGGATAATATGACCTGGGTTTGAATTATTTTTTGTCATTTGTTACCATGTGAGCTCGAGAAAAGTAAGTAAACATGCTAAGCCTCTGTTTCCTCATCTGTAAAATGGGAACAACAGTATAAGAGTTACTTTATAGAGCTGTGAGGATCACATGTGTACAAGTCTAATACGGTGCCTGGTACATAGAAGGAACTCATTAAATAGGAAGGGGTCAATGACATCTCCTGAGGGAAGTTGCAGAACTGGTCACTTGAGTTTGGAAGGCCTTGATCATTTTTTTTAAGTTTCAAAACAAAATTTATTACAGAAAGAAGAAAGGAAAGAAAGGGAGACATGCCAGAGCTGGCATGGGTGAGAGAAACTGCCACCCTTGATAATTTTGTTCAGGATGTGTCTATCATCTCTTTTCTTTTCTTTTTGAGTTGGCATCTCACTCCATCACCCAGGCTGGAGTGCAGCGGCAAGCTCACGGCCACCCCAGGGTTGACCTGCTGGGCTCAGGCGATCCTTTCGCTTCAGCCTTCTAAGTAGCCAGAACTACAGGCACATGCTACCACGCCTGGCTAATTTTGGGATTTATTGTAGCGATGAGGTCTTGCCAAGTTGCCCCGGCTGTTCTCAAACTCATGGGCTCAGGCAATCCCCTCACCTTGGCCTCCCAAAGTGCTGGGATTATAAGCTTGAGCCACTGTGCCCTGCCTTTCATCTCTTTTCTATTAATGAGCTGGGAATTTGCTGATTCCCAAACACCAGATATAGGAAAACCTGAAGTGGGGTGTGGAAGGTTGTAGGAAAAGCTTTGGGAACCCGAGATCTGTGGCAGGTCCCCAGTAAGACTGGTCTCAGCCACAGGCCTAGGGCAGCAGGAGATGAAGCAGAGCCTCTCTAGAGAATAGGAGCATTCTTAACTGGACAGAGGAGAGGACACGGGGATATGGACATGGGGGTAAAGCAGGTTGTCTGGGGTTCCAAGCCTTAGGTCCTGCTAGGCCAGACCAAGGGAGAGATGCCCAGATTAGTGCTAGATGGCCTAAGGCCAGGGGAGCCTGGGGGCTTAGGGAGAGAGATGGAGCCAGGGTGGCTGGGACCATGCAGCACATCATACTGCAGGGTGGCTGCAGAGAAGACACAACTGGAGCCTGGTTGGAGGGGCAGCCTGGGCTTGGGTTCAGCCTGGGACAGATAATTCCACCCAGCTTAGCAGTGGAGGCAGCTCAAATCAGCCTTAGGTAGGGTCTCTATATCTTGGCCTAACTGTAGCCAGACAGGATTGAGCAAACGAAACAGTCTAGGGGCCAAGAACGCCAGGGCAGTTGCAGCAATCTATGGGTGGACATGAGTTATACAAAGCAAAGGCACGTTTGCTCTGTGAACACATTCATTTTTTAGCCACTGGAAGGATGGTGGTGGGATTGGGGGAGTGGGGTGCTGTCATGGGAGTAGGACATTGATTATTCTATTCTTGTTTTTGCAAAGTTCCTTTAAAAAAATTAAAATTTCCAAGGCTGTCTCTACTGGACCTGAGAAAACAGATTTTTTGTTTTTTTAGCGATAAGGTCTTGCACTGTTGCCTAGGTTGGAATTTGTGGGCTCAAGTACCCTTCTGCCTTAGCCTCCCAAGTAGCTGGGACAACACCTGTGTACCACCATGCTTGACCAAATTTTTTTTTTTTTTTTTTTTCAGAGACAAGGTCTCGCTATGTTGCTCAGTCCTGGCCTCAAGCAATCCTTCTGTCTCAGCCTCCCAAAGTCCTGGGGGGCCCAGGATTTTATTTTTGATCAACAAAACCGGAGAGAGGCAAATGGCCCCTGAAACGTGCATGGTGGGTTCCTGGCAATAGTCCTGGGGTAAGCTGGCGGAGCCCTGGCTGGGCAGGGCATTTGTGACCACTGCTTCAAACCCTCTGATGGCTTCCCAACTTGGTCCACTCCCAGCTTCTCTCCTCCCAGCCCTGGCAGCCCTTGAAGTTCTGCTTGTGCTCTGCAGCTCTGCCTCATACTCTGCCTTGTTTAGGCTTCTAATGACTGTGGACCTCGATATTCTTTCCCTGGAGAGAACAGAAGTTGTCTGAAGGCAGAGACTGTGACCATGCTGTGACTTTGTCTGTCTTGCTCACCACCGTACTTCAGCACTTTGCACAGGGCCTATCCTTGCACAGGGCCTATCCTCTTGGTGCTCAAGAACGAACCAAAGAGGAGAAACCCACGATAGATGTGCTGAGTAAAGGAACGTTCTCATCATAAGACTCAGTCCATGGTCTCAAGCAACAAGTGCTAATACACACAGGCTGACCATGACCATGAGAAGAGGAAGAGAATGATGATGACCATGATGAGAAGGAAGCGGTGAGGATCTTCATGGATGCTGGTTTTGGTGGTTAGCTTATGCAGAGGCCAGGGCTGCACTGAGCATCAGCAGCCCTCGATTCTATTCCTGGCCTGCTTAGCTCTCTGCATTAAAAGTGCCTCTTCCCCAAACATGTCTCCAGACATCTCCAGACCCAAGTAGATGAAGAGAATTCTAGCTCAGATGCTCAGCTCTTGACTTCTAGCCCTGCACCCACCCTCCAGGCTTGCCTCTCTCTGGGAGGACAGAGTTTCATTTCCTCTCCAGCCTCAGTCTCTGTCCCAGACTCTGCTCGCCGGGGGAAATGGACCAGTGGAAATAGAGGAAGCAGTCCAGGAGCAAAGGTTTTTGAAAAGGAACTGAGTCTAGAGTTATTCTGTGAGATCCTGGGCGGAAACAGCCTTGCTGGAAGCACTCAATGGACTGTAGGCTTTTCAAGGATAAGGCCTGTGTGCTGAGGGGCCGAGGCCCCGCATTGTGCCTGACACCATAGCTGGCACGAGTTCTGAGCATGCTGAGTGCAGAACCTACCCTAATCAACTATGTGACCCTGGCAAGAGCCTCTTTCTCCCCAATTGCCCCTTCTTTAACCCAGAAAATCTATCCCCAAGGCTGAAGTAAGGGAGTTTTTTGTTTGTTTGGTTGGTTGGTTGTTTTTTGTTTTTGGTAATAGAGACAGGGTCTCATTCTGATGCCCATGGGTTGAGTGCAGTTGTGCAATCAGAGCTCACTGTAACCTCTAATGCCTGTGCTTAAGTAATCCTCCCGCCTCAGCCTCCTGAGTAGCTGGGACTACAGGTGCAAGCTACCACACCTGGCTAATTTTTAAATTTCTTGTAAAGATGGGGTCTTCCTATGTTATGCAGGTTGGTCTTAAACTCCTGGCCTTAAGCAATCCTCTTGCCTATAATCCCAAAGTGCTGGGATTATAGGCGTGAGCTACTGCCTGACTGACAGAAAGCCCTTTAAAAAGTAAAAGAGAGCCGGGCTCCGTGGCTCAGCCTGTAATCCCGCGCCTTTGGGAGGCTGAGGTGAGTGGATTGCCTGAGCCCG